AGAGTCCCCTTATTGAGGAGACTATCAGTCTCCCTGGCAGATTAATTAAACTCTTGTGCACCTTAGGTATTATGAAAAAGGTTGGTATGTTATATTCCTGTACTTTTAGATAATTAAATTCACAGTTGGATAGTAAAGCTACGTTCTTAGCCATCTCCAGTTTATTGTTAAGTTTATCCACCAGGGCAGGGAAAGGATTTACGTCCAGTTGTCTATATGTCATCTGATCATCCAACTGTTGTCTCACTTCTTTTACATAGGTTTCATTTAGAAGGACAACATTTCCCCCTTATCACTTCTTTTGATTATTAGATATTTTGCATCCCTTAGCTCACAAAGGGCCTTACGTTTATCTGGATCAAGATTGTCATGGTCACTTATTGTCCGGTTAATAGTTCTTACATCCATTTGTACCAGTTCCAGGAACAAGCTCAACCATTTATTTCTACTTAGAGGTGGCAACTTTGTTGATGGAATTTCAAGGTTGACTTACCTCCTAGTAAATTGTTCTTCAATGCTTTCATTCTCCTCCAGTAATAAGACTAGTGTATCCAACATCACTCTATCATCATTCTCCAATTGGAGGTCTGTAACCAACATTAAATCATAATGATCTAATATCTTAGGTAAAAACAAAGTGATGTTTTATACACTGTAAATTCGTCCATATTACTCGTTGGAGAAAAAGTAATTCCCCTTCGTAGGAGACATACATGTCTAGGGGCCAGCAGAAAGTCAGATAAGTTAATAACCTTTCTGTCAACGGTTTGCATATCACTACCCCTTGCTATTTCTCCTTCCTCTGATTCTTGGACTGTGTCTTTCTGTCTTGGATAGGCTTGTTCTTCATTTTCCCTCTCCTTTTTCCTTTCATAAGACATCTTGTATTCTTTTCACAGAATACAAGGTTTTTCTGTAAATGGATGAAGGGAGTGAAGTATGGATGAATCACAATCTCCTTTAGTCCAATCACATAATACACTTCTGTGAAAACAATACAACACATTTTATAAATGCACAGGGTGATGAGTGAGTGACCTGCTATCATCGTTGTACTATCACTACTCTGAGTGCTGAAAGTTTGGCATTTACAGTACTTTCTGGCATGAAAGTAGCAGTTTTAAGTAATGCAGCACCATCCATATTACACTCATCATAAGAGATGATTTACTTTTTATACAGATAATATCCACAAAATGTTTTCCAGACTTCAGCTTTAATGATACCAAAGGTTTTAATAAAAAAAAGAAAATTATGTTAAAACCTACTGTATATCTTTAATAACGTTTTTATTACTATTTTTCATAGCACTATAGTTAAAGTGACATTATTAAATTATTTTCATATAATAAATGTTCAGGTGTCAGTGAACAATCTGATACTTCATGAATGGGTCAATGAGATGAGTTTTGGGACACTTCACAGAGATCACACCTAACTGTAGGAGTCGTTGATGCAAACTATGAGGTAACCCTAATGAATTCATAAACTTCGAGTATCTGTAATACAGTTTTAGACCTCATGCACACAGGATGTTTTCCTAACTCTACGAGAAGCCTTTCCCCCTGGCAGCAGCGTTTTGGCACATAAAATGCCTGACATTTGTAAAAGTGTGTAACGCGTTTAGGCACTTTTAGCCAGGTCAGGTGTTTGAGCGTTATTTCATTTCATTGGCCAGATTATACTGACCAATGAAATGAATTATTGCTCAAGCGCTTAATGCATCTAGCATTAACACATGTTTAGAAGGGTCAAGCTTTTTTTTAATTTTATCTCTGCTGCTCCTGGACTGACAGTGGGTTTTTTTTTTTGCTTTTAAAACTTTATGTGTGCATGGAAACAAAGACTAACATGCAGGGGTAAAAAACGCCAGACGCCCCTAGGAGCAGCTATAACAACATCCTGTGTACATAAGGCGTAGAGTGCTACTTTATGTATCAAACTTTGTGAAGAGAAAGAAGAAACAGTTCATATTGGGAGAGATGTAAGAACAATAATTTTCCCTGACTGCCAGTTGGACTAAGACTTCTTACCCCTTCTTCCAATCTATGTTGTGTTGGTGTTTCTGTTATAAGGGCAAGGCTTACCAGGCAAATACTAAAATGTAGTAGCAATTATTATTATAAAGTATACTCAATTGCTGCATGCAGGAATTTGGAAACAGCAGTAAAAATGATACAGGTTAGATTGGCCCCCTATGTCCGAGGTGTGTCCTCTTTATGCTTCAGAGGTTGTGGCAAGGACAATACAGCATACCACATATGGTGGAAATGTCCTAAAGTGAGGCACTTCTGCATTAGAGTTTACAATTTCATCTATACCACCACTCAGATTAACCTGATCAAGTCTCCGAAGCATGCCTTATTGAGATGCAAAATAGAGGAAGCCTCCAGATATCAAGAATAGCTAACCACTTTTATATTTGTCTTGGCAAAATTAACTATTGCTAAGAATTGGAAATTAGCTATCATATCATGACCAACTCAAACACAAACTTTCCTGGATAATAATAAACGAGCGTTTGTCAGCGATCTTAAATGATATAATGAAAGTTTTCGAAAAAGTGTGGGACCCATGGGTCAAATATTTAACGGGGACTCCCATGGAGTCCCCCCCCCCCCCCCCAATTCTTCTCTTTCCTACTTCTTTCTGGGCACTCTAGCCTCCTTTTTTCTAATATGGTTGTATTACAATTTATATATATTATAATCTCTATGATTGTACAACTTAAGGTGTGACTCTCTCATTTGAGGGGAAGGTGCCTACAAGGTTAAATTTACTTCTCATTTATGTTATAAATATTATGCTTTTATAGCATCATCTACCTCATTAATCGGCTATTGTCTTAGCCTTGGTTCACATTACTGTGACCTGAAAATCGTGTGACTTCGCCAGGCAACTTCCTGGCAACTTAAGTACCACTTAGATGTGACTTGATGCAACTTTCAGGGAATGCCTGGGCAACCTTCCTGTAATGTAAGATCCAAATCACATCAATGTAGATGAGGATCCAACTTGGAGGCAAGTTCCATTAAAGTCTATGGCACAAGTCGGATAGAAGTCATCGTGAAGTAGTACAGGAACCTTTTCTAAAGTTGGAGCGACTTCAGTCATGCTAATTAAGACAGCTCTGATTGACTAACATGGGATTACACGTCATGCAGCTTGGGGTCTTACAAGTGGGATCTCAAGTCGCAGCAGTGTGAACCGAGCTTTAACCAATTCAATACCGGGCAATTTTACACCTTCCTGCCCAGGCCAGTTTTCAGGTTTCAGCACTCTCACACTTTGAATGACAATTGCGCGGTCATACAACATTGTACCCAAACTAAAATTTTATCATTTTCTTCACACAACTAGAGCTTTCTTTTGGTGGTATTTAATCACCACTGGGGTTTTTATTTTTTGCTAAATTAACAAAAAAAAACAAAAATTTTGAAAAAAACACGTTTTTCTTTGTTTCTGTTATAAAAGTTTGCAAATAAATAACTGTTCTTCATAAATTTAGGCCAAGATGTATTCTGCTACATGTCTTTGGTGAAAATAACCCATATTAGGATGTATTTTTGAGTTTGTAGGAAAGTTATAGAGTTCACAAACTATGCTATAGATCTGAATATTGATCAATCCTGAAGTACTGACAGCCAATCTAATTTCTTGAGGTCCAAGAATGTCAGAACAGTACAGATATCCCCCAAATTACCCCTTTTTGCAGAGTAGACAGTCCGACGTACTTCATAAAAGAGGCATGGCGAGTTTTTTGAAGTTGTATTTTTTTTGTCATAATTTTTCGGAAAATGAAAAAATGAAAAAAATTAGTTTCACTATTTTTTTTTTTACATATTGTCACCAGTGCAGTACAGCATCATCAGATAACTGGCATGGCGGTGATCAGGGACACTGACTGGTGACAGTATGAAAAAAAAAATATATACATATATTTTGTTTTATTTTTTTTCTTATTTTTTTTCTTTTTTTTAAGATTTTTTTTTCATATTTCACTATGACCAAAGTAGTACAATGTTACCATAGTAACATTGTACTACTTTGGGGAAGTGATCAGTATTTTTTTTTTTTTTTTTTACACAATTTGCTTATAGCAAAGAATTACTTTGCTATAAACAAGCATTTACCTGAATGACATCGATTCATTCAGGGTTTTTTTTTTTTTGTGCTTAGCTGGGATTTGGCCACAGCTATTCACATGACATGTGCATGTGATTAGCTGTGACCATTCACAGCTAGACACTAGTATACAATGGATGGCATGAATGAAGCCATCCATTGTATACAACTGTCATGTGACCTGCTGTGATTGGTCACAGCAGGTCACATGGTACCGGCAACGGGGCTGATACTCAGATCTGTCATCGGCCGTGTTCAAGGTACACGGCTGGTGACAGATCGCGCCGCTGCGCGGCTCTGCAGGAGCGCAATCTGCACATGTGCGGGAGGACGCCATATGGCATCCACCTGGAACGCTGATGACATTTGCCGGCCGCCATTCGGCCATAGGGCGGGCGGCAAATGGTTAAGGTAGTAGGTAACCTGCATTTATTAGTATTACAATAGAGTTGAGTATTGAACATATGTTTGGGGCTCCCTTCATGGCCAAAATGTACTACCACTATTCTGATAAATAGCAGAATATGCCTTTTGTTTCTATGAATAAACGTATTTTTATTTGTCTTTATGCTATCTGTTTGTTACAGTGGAAGCATTGTTATGCTGTGATACTCTTTGAAATATATTTCTTTATTAATTGTGTAAAAACACTTTCAATAAAAACATTGGAAACCAAATAGCAGTAAACTAAACAGAAACCACAGAGATGTGAATAAACCAAAAATATCACAGTTCACACACATATACACATTAGAAGGGATCCAGTGTAGTGAGCGTGACCTGGCACATTCATGCATTGTCCCCAATATGCTACTACTGTTACTGAATGATTCATCCTGCTTTCTGAACAGAATTTTAGAAAGATAATACCTTACCCGATACTGTTTCTGCAGTTCAATACTAAGTATATGGACTGCTTCTGTATATCTTCCTTCTTTAATCTAAACAAAAAATATAACAGTTATTATAGAATTAAAATACATTTATGCATTCCAGTTATAGAAGACATTCATAACAGTTCACCTCATCACTGGGCTAAAGTATATATTTAAACTTCAATCAAATAATATATTCTCAGCTCACTCAAATAATATATACTCAGCATACTCAAAAAATATAAAGTCTGGTTGGTTGTGATGCATTACTGCACATTGCCTCATATGTCCCAAAAGAATAGTTATATAAATTTCACATTAAAGGGGAGAAATATGTGCCATTTCTTAGCTCCATCTGAAAATGCTATGCTAGATCCAATTTCAATACTACCTGAGTCATTCACCCCAAAACTGACTTAGGGCTAGTACACACTCCAGTGCATCCAAAACGCACAGAATTAGATTAAATGGTTATCAATGTCATAGTTCACATCAGTGCTTCCAGTTCCAGTGCATTCCGGATGCACAGAAAAAAAAACAGGTGGCCATTATCCTGCACAGAACTGTACTAGAACGCAGTAAAACGCATCAAAAATGCAGTGGAACACACCATAAACGCACTGGAATGCACATGTCCCTATTTAAACTGAAGAAAAAAGGGGAAAAGTGAACTGGAACACATCAAAAATGCACAAAACACATCAAAAATGCATCAAAAAAGCACCGAAATGCGTTAAAACCGCACATGAAGAATGCATTGGGAACACATCTCGACAGCATTTCTATAGTGTGAACCGGGCCCTTAAAGTGAATGTAAAGTCTGTTTTTTTTTTTTTTTTTTTTTTTTTTTAAACAACAAACATAATAGTTAACTGCTCTGTGCAGTGGTGTTGCACAGAGCGGCCCCGAACCTCTTCTCAGGTCCCCTGCTGGTGATCTTGGCTCATTCTCTTTTCCAGTGCACCCCCATAGGAAGCTGCTTCCTACAAAGATGCACCTGCGGGCGTGCTTCTGAGCCCTAATCAGTAGGGTAGCAGCTCAGAGATTCCCTGCTGATTGCAATGGAATTAGCCCTGAGTGAAAGGGGTCAGAGACTCTGTTGCTATCGAAAGAAATTACACAAAGAATTTCCAGTCAAAGGACACTTACCTGGCTGGCTGCCAGTGCCCTTGGTCTTAACCCTCTACTGCTACCAAAGCATTTTCGGCACCTGACACACTTTGAGATGTTTTCAAATAAACAAACAAAAAAAATGGCACACCAACCAAAGCTGATCACTGTTTTTAAGCTAACCATACACAACTCAAATTGTGGGTTGCTCTGTACGCACCACCTGGCTTGACAAAACTGGATTAAAACTGACTAAGCCAGGTGGAAACAGAATGCCTAAACAGTGACTTCATCCAATAAATACGAGAGCCGGCAGAGCAGAATCCTCCATCTACACTGTACAGTAGAGAAGTTTATTGATTTTTGCTTGTTCAACCCACTGGCTAACCAAGAGAAATTTTGCAGAGGGTGGCTAGCCTTACTCTATAAAAAGGAGGACCATTACCATTTCAGGTAGTTTCTAAACTATTAAAATATCTCGTGATATGCTTGTTTAAAGACAGACAAAATAGAGATGAATATGAGAATGACAAAAAAAAAAAATACCAAATAAACAATACAGTGTACAAAATACCCGGAGAGCTGAACTTCAAGACCTCCAAAACAGTCCTAAAAGGCAACACAGGCGTACCTCGGTTTGCGAATTTAATGCGCTCTGAGCAACTTTTCGTATTGCGAAAATTTCGTAAACCAAAATGCGGTTTCCCATAGGAATGCATTGAAAACCAATTAATCCGTTCCGGAAGTCAGAAAAAAGTAAAAAAAAGAAGTATTTTAGCTGTTCAAAACTCATTACAAAGTGCACTTTAAAGGCATAAATACTGTACAGGGACATGATAAAAAAAATTTGTAAATGCATTGAAAACCAATTAATCCATTCCGGAGGTCAGAAAAAAGTAAAAAAAAGTCTTATCTGTTCAAAACTCTTTATATAGTGCACTTTAAAGGCATAGTACTGTACAGGGACATGATTAAAAAAAAAATTTGCAAAATGCATTGAAAACCACCAATTAATATGTTCGTATTGCGATAAAAAAAAAATTTGGAAACCGAGGCATTATTTTCAATGGATTTTCATTCGTAAACCGAAAATTACGTTAACTGAGGCATTCGTAAACCGAGGTATGCCTGTAACTCAACTTAAAGTGGAACTAAAATTTGCAATACTCACCTTCCCTCCAGTTATGCAACGTCTGCGAGCTTCCTCGCTGTTGCCGACATCTTCACCCAATCTTCTACGAAGTTTTCCATCTTATGCTATCTTTATTAGTTATCCAGCTCAGCATGAATCTCCAGTGTAAGCGCACTGGAATGAACTCATCCTGGCACCAAGGCATGCCAAGAATGTGAATGGAGCTGTGTATGCACAGATAACTGAACATCCTAAAGAAGTTTGAGAGCATGTCTCTTCTGCAATAAAAAGCCTGCATGCTGGCAAATTGTTTTAGATGAAGTTCTTATTTAAGAAATGTTCCAATAGGAACCCAAAAAATCGCCGCATTAACCAAATTATATTAATGTACAAAACTTCATTGTAACTATAAAATCAGTCCAACACTTCATATTGTGTCAAACGCCACTGTAGGGGGCAGATCTACAGAGTGCAATGAGGGATCAGATGAGATCAGGAGATCGATGTAGCAATCGTACACACAGATCCGGACGCGGCCCTCCATTTTGTTAAGAATTCTCCATTTTGTCCCATCATCCCCCCTCCCTCTCTGTTCATCCACAGTGACATGTGGCCTGTGTGTTGGCCGAGGTCATAGGCAGCCAAAGCACAGCAGAAGAACCGAGCTATAAAACCCCCCAGGGAGCTGGGTGCCTGGCTGTCTAACAAAATGTGCAATCTGGCATATTGTAAAACCCAAGCCTTTCCATGAATACAAAGACATTCCAGAGGAGTAATAAACTAGATACCACATTCAAAATCCATTTCCCCCCCCATGTCTCATCTCTTGGAATATGATAGACATACATAAAAACCAGGCATATCTTCAGATTGATAAGACAAACCGTTTGATATGTCACACTCCTTGGCTGGCATACATAGAAAAGCAGAAAAGTATATCTCTTGAACCATTCAAGTGTATATTTCAAATCTCATATCTAACCATTCCACAGATGCATCTGCATATTAATCTACCCACGGGTGGGATGTTACATGTACCTAGGAAAAGTTATGGGCCAAAATATAAGCATTATTATAACTTAGGTCTCCACCTACACTTCCCTCCCCAAAAGGAGACCATTGGTTACTACTCCAAAGAGACACCCTGCTGTGATTTGCTAGAAAAGGGCTGTTAAGCTTGGAGTTGGTGTGTGAGAGTAAGAAGAGTCTCCCTATAACACCGAAACTGAGTGAGAGACCAGAAATCCTTTTTGAGCTCATAAGACTTGAAAACTGCTTAACCCAAGGTTGATTGGCAAGTACTTTAAACCTTTAACCTCCTTTCTGTTATCTCTTTGCTGTGCTATTGTTCTCTGTATATTTATATATATATAATATATATATATATATATATATATATATATATATACAGTCAGGTCCATAAATATTGGGACATCAACACAATTCTAACATTTTTGGTCTATACACCACCGCAATGGATTTGAAATGAAGCAAACAAGATCTTTAACTGAGACTCTCAGCTTTAATTTGAGGGTATTTCATCCAAATCAGGTGAACGGTGTAGGAATTACAACAGTTTGCATATGTGCCTCCCACTTTTAAGGGGCCAAAAGTAATGGGACAATTGGCTTCTTAGCTCTTCCATGGCCAGGTGTGTGTTATTCCCTCATTATCCCAATTACAATGAGCAGATAAAAGGTCCAGAGTTCATTTCAAGTGTGCTATTTGCATTTGGAATCTGTTGCTGTCAACTCTCAAATGGCATCCAAGAGCTGTCACTATCAGTGAAGCAAGCCATCATTAGGCTGAAAAAACAAAACCCCATCAGGAGATAGCAAAAAAACATTAGGCATGGCCAAAACAACTGTTTGGAACATTCTTAAAAAAAGGAAGCACGGGTGAGCTCAGCAACACCAAAAGACCGGAAGATTCCACGGAAAACAAGTGGATAAAAGAATTCTTTCCCTGGTGAAGAAAATACCCTTCACAACAGTTGGCCAGATCAAGAACCCACCAGGAGGTAGGTGTATGTGTGTCAAAGTCACCAATCAAGAGAAGACTTCACCAGAGTGAATACAGAGGGTTCACCACAAGATGGAAACCATTGGTGAGCCTCAAAAACAGGAAGGCCAGATTAGATTGACATCTAAAAAAGCCTTCACGTTCTGAACAACATCCTATGGACAGATGAGACCAAGATCAACACTGTACCAGAGTGCTGGAAGAGAAGAGTATGGAAAAGAAAGGAACTGCTCATGATCCTAAGCATACCACCTCATCAGTGAAGCATGGTGGTGGTAGTTGTCATGGCGTGGGCATGTATGGCTGCCAATGGAACTGGTTCTCTTGTATTTATTGATGATGTGACTGTGACAAAAGCAACAGGATGAATTCTGAAGTGTTTCGGGAATATTATCTGCTCATATTCAGCCAAATGCTTCAGAACCGTTGGACGCCGCTTCACAGTGCAGATGGGACCCAAAAATAAAAGCAACCAAGGATTTTTTAAGTTAGGTCTGCACCAAGTCTTCACCTGACCTGAAAGGATTGAGCATGCATTTTGGCTTACAAAAACTGAAGGGAAAATGCCCCAAGACAAGCAGGAACTGAAGCTGTTGCAGTTTGCTGGCAGAGCATCACCAGGGATGAAACCCAGCGTCTGGTGATGTCTTGGTTGTGTCAGGCTGTACTTGACTGAAGAGTTTCCCAAGTATTAAACATCGAAAGTTTGAGTGAGATTATTCTGTCCCATTACTTTTGGTTCCTTAACAAGTGGGAGGCACATGTGAAACTGCTTAATTCCTACACCGTTCACCTGATTTGA